ATCCTCCTGTCACTCCCCATGTGGTGTTGGGACTGTAGGCATGTGTGCATGGCTATGCTTACCTTTTTATGTGGGTGCTAGGGATTTGAACTCAGGTCATCATGCTTGCACAACAAAGCACTCTTACCCAGTGAGCCATCTCCACAGTCCCAATGCTCCTAGCACACTGACATTTGCTTATTTCTCTCTTATCTGTCCCCCATGCCCATTACTAGGTGATGGGTTTCATAGGCAGATACAGGTACCTGCAGGGTTCCAGGCTGAGATGTGGGACTTGGGCTGCAGGAATCTTCTCAAAGCATCTCATGGAAGGGCCTCCCTGGCCCCGAGAGAACAACAGTTTTAATAAAGTCTAACTCACACAACACCACTGTGTGACCTAGGACAAGGCACCTACCTGTCCTCACCTATGAGACATTACAGATTATAGATAGCACTTCCCTGAGGAGGCTCTGCAAGGTATGACCTGCAAGGGTGGTCCCAGGCAAAAGACAAATGAGGTTCCCAGGGCACACAACACTCTGTGCCAACACACAATCAACATCGCTAGAATGCACAAGCCAGGGACATTCCTTGCAGTCACTGTGCCATACAACCAGTAGACCAGGCTGGCTCTGAACTCGCAGAGATCCACCTGCAGCTGCCTCCCAAGTGCTAGGATTATAAGCGTGCACCACCAATGCCTGACTCTATTCTGGGCATTTTCGATGAACATCCCACACAGCAAGTAGCATCAGGCTGTCCTCGACAGGGCGTGTTTTCCGTTGTTGTTTTGTTTTTGAGACAAGGTCTCCCTGTAGCCCCTGCTGGCCTGGAACTTGCTATGTAGATCAGGCTGCCCTTGATCTCACAGAGATCTGCCTTACTCTGCCTCCTGAGCACCCCCTATGGCCAAGGGGAGATAGAAAGTTACCAAATGGTTAGACAGAGTGATGCTGTTACAGAGCTGGGGGCCCTGTTTCTCACCATGCTGAAGCTGTTCCGTAGTTTTGAGGACTAACAACAGACGTGACCACTGAACTACACCCTGCTCAACGCACAGGCTGGGATGGCTCTCCATCTGGACTTGTGGTCTCCCTGGGCCTCTTCCCTTCCTCCAGCATAGCCAGCCCTGGGTGTGACTGTGATCAGCACATAATCTAGAGCCCAAAATAGAAGCAAATGGCACCATTGCTCAAGGTTCCAAGAACTCTGTTCCTGTCAAGTTTGCTAATCTACACCCTGTCCTTGGCACAAAGCGGGGGGGGGGGGGGGGCAAAGTGACTCCCATGGAAGGAGATGTCCATTTGACTAGAGGCTTAGGGGCCAGGGTCAAGAGAGCTGGTAAAAGCCTGCCCTAATTTGCTCTGTGATTTGAGAAGGTCACTCCTCGAGCCTGGGACCTCTCTTGCTGGGGTCTACCAGGGCTGTGCCCTCAGGATCTAGAACTAGAGAGACTGCATGAGCTCTGCAAGCTCATCTCTCCCAGCTCCAGTCCCTTGTTGATGCCAGGGGGGCGCCACAGTGGAGCCTGCTTTGAGGGCCACTTCAAGCAGTGATAATACATGGAACCTGGGACCACTGCACAGGACCACTGAGTATGGACCACACACCTCTCACGCCCCCTAAACCTGCAGTCTCCATCCACAGTCTCTTTTCCAGAAGGAACAGGGTCTGGTGTCTGAATGCTTCCTATTGAAGCATAGCTGTTCCTGATGTCTGGCTGTCCTGAAGGCCTCCTGGCCTTGGAGGAGGTGATGAGGACCTGCCTCAGCTCTCCAGCTCAGTCACCTTCTGTGCCTGTGGTAACCAGGGAACCAGAGTGATGAAAAACCCCAGGCAAGGCAGAGCCAGGCTTTCTTACCAGAGCTGCTGTCCTGGGAGTGCGTTTTGCTGAGCCCTAAGTGCACAGTATCACCAGTCTGTTGTGCACATGCAGCAAAGAGGTAGCCGGGAGGACCTCATAGCCGCTTTTAGGTTTGGACAGCTATCCCATTGAAGACGAGCCTTAGGAGCCCGCTCAGCTAGCTTACCCCTCTGCAGAGCTGGGGAGGAGACAGGAAGGCAGAGGAGGGAGCATGCTGTTGGCCAGCCAGGGGCAAAGATAGGGCCTCACATGACTCCTGGTCACCGAAGGGATAGATCTGTGGGATGATGTTTCTGGCCTGGAGGTGGCCTCTGCTTCTGACCTCGATTCTAGCTCTGGGAGGTGGGATCCAGTCCTCACAGCTACAGGGGAGTGAGCGTCTGCCAGTCTGAGTTTCTGAAGGGCATTTAGTTTGCAACCTGAAGTCTTCCCACCATGCCTGCCTGGACTCCATGATTTCATCTATAGCACCCTGTCCTCAGGAAGTTATGGGGCCGTGCATTGGAATCCTAGTTAAGGATGCCCACTGCATGTTACTTAGAGTCCTGAAAATCACGCAGTGACCCAGTGCCCTTCAGGACCAGACAGATGCAACACACCGTGGCCAAGTCTAGACAATGAGTGCCGGGCGGCCACTGCAGATGACAAGACGACGTGTATTTATAGTCACTAAGGGAGAGCTATGGGCGGTGTGCTTAGTGGAAAAGGCCGACCACAAAAGGATTTATAGTTGGTGCTACCTCGATAAAATGAGACACATGCAAGTTGGTGTCTGTATGCAGAGAGGTCTGCAAGGTGCCACCCTGCTGGTATTAGGGCTTCACTCTGATGCGGGGTGGGGTGGGAGGTAGGTATAAGCCGGAGGGTCGTTTTTATTATCTTTCTGTACTAAAATTTTTCTTAGCATGAACATGCATTTTGTTTGCACAGTTTTAAAGTTGTTTTTGGCTGAATATGCAGCTCAATTACTGCGGTACTTGCATAGCATGCACAAAACCCTGGGTTCGATCCTCAGAGCCACATAAACCAGATGTGGTTTTGCACACCAATAATCCCAGCACTTGAAAGATGGAGACAAGGGGATCAGAAGTTCAAGGTCAACCCTGGCTACATAAGGAAGCCAGCCTAGGCTACATGAGCCTCTACCCCTGGTTATTTTTACAAGAGGGTAAATACTGCAGAATCTCACTTCTACGAGGGACCTGGAGCAAGGAAGTTCATAGTGGCAGAAGGAGAAAAGGGGCTGTGGTGCTGGGAGGTGGCACAGAGGACAGTAAGGGTTTCAATTCTGCAAGAAGAACTTCTGGAGATGGTTGTCAGTGACAGCTGCACCGCAATGTTTAATGCCACTGAACTGTGTTACTTAGAAAGGTTCAAATGACATTTTATGATATATATATATGTGTGTGTATATATATGTGTGTGGCAGAAGGAGAAAAGGGGCTGTGGTGCTGGGAGGTGGCACAGAGGACAGTAAGGGTTTCAATTCTGCAAGAAGAACTTCTGGAGATGGTTGTCAGTGACAGCTGCACCGCAATGTTTAATGCCACTGAACTGTGTTACTTAGAAAGGTTCAAATGACATTTTATGATATATATATATGTGTGTGTATATATATGTGTATGCGTTCCAAAAGAATATAGTCCC